CTTCCACTGAAGCTGACACTATTGGGTCCTCACTCCTTCCGTGTCTGGAATTTCACTTCCAGGGACAGTCCCTGCGGCCAAGGTTGTATCGGCATCTTCATCACTCTTTCCTGTCTCCTGCTTCGCTCTCTTGGTCCGTCTGGCTGCTTGGTGCCTGAGCATTCACAGATGGATGTGTTTGGAGGAAAGCACTGAATCCGCAACCGGTCTCACCTGACCTGACTAACCCTGCAGTGATTCCCCGCTCTGCCGCGTGAGCTTCTGAGATGGCAGCAATGTCTCTGCCTCTCAAGATGGAAGACATTCGGCTGATGTAATGGTTCTCTTGAATCGGTTTAACTCCCTTTCCCACCCCAGTTTTTAAAATGAATCAGTTATAGTAATATTCCATATCTTCCTTCTATAATCTTATTATGATCATGAATGACTCATCCCAGTATTAATAAATTCGATGGCTAACTCTCAGTCGCCGCATTTAAAAAATTTGTAAAAACAGTATTATTTGTATGAATGGCTGCTCATACACACAACGAGGAGAGCACTAGCTTTCATCTGTTGGCTTGTTCTCCAACGGCTGGGGTGGTTGGGGCTGGTTCAGACCGAAGCCAGGATCTAGGAACTCCATTTGGGTGTCCCGTGTGGGTAGAAGGAGCTCAGGTCCTTTTTCCAACTCTGCTGTCTTCCCGGCCAATTCGCAGGGCGTTGGGTGGAGTGCAGGGCAAGTTGGCTACGGGCTGCTGGGGTTGCACATGGTTGCTAATCATGTCAGGCCACCATGTCAGTAACTGGTGCTCACCTTGACTTATGGACAGCATGACAATCATTCCCTACTGCCTTCCACACTGACCGCAGGCATCCTTGAGCCCACACTCAGCTTTATTTCTGTTTTCTTTTTGTTCTTGGAGCTATTTTCTACTGATTTCGGAGGCTGAAACATCGGGATTCACTTCTGGACCTTTGTCCCGGGTCAGGCTGTTCTCCTGGGTGTCTGCGGGATTAAATTATATGCCGTGTTCATTTCTATGGTCAGAACACTTGGAATAGTTCTTACTTTATGTATTTTGTCCCAGTGATGGACAGCTCATTTTGCCTCTGTGAAGTCTGCCCTCATTCCATTCCTCTGCAACCACCCACGTGTTCCAACACCTTCCGTCCTGTACTTCTTCCCTTGTTTTTGTCTGCGTTCTCCTGGGAGAAACTGAGTAACTTGTCTGAAGTTGTAATTCTCTTCATCTGTTTCTAACATTTTGATTAAATGCACAAATACTATATGCTTAAGATTGATTTTAATTTTATTTGAAAGCTGGAGTTATAGAGAGAGGAGAAAGAGAGAGCGAGAGATCCAGGAGCTCAGAATTCCATGTGAACCTCCCACCACAGCGACCTGGACCCAGGTGCTTGGGGCAGCACCTGCTTGCTGCCAAGGTGGGCGTCAGCAGGAGGCCGGAGTGGAGGCAGAGCGGGGAGGCAGCAAGGAGCTCTGACACAGTGTTTGAGTCTCAAGTAGTGTCTTAGCCACTGTGTGAAGTGGAGTTTGACACTGGAGAGGACTTGAGACAGGGGTAAGAGCTATTCTTTCTGAGAGCACGTGGTTTGCTTTGGAAAGCCCCCCGAGACCTGCATCCACGGAACAAGAGGCCTGGGGACTACACTGTCTCCTCTGGACCGCTTTCCTCTTCCTTTCATTAGCTCTTCCTTTTTATTTCACTTATTTTACTTCCTTCTTTATTTATCCTTAAGAACAGTGTGTATTTTTCTTAGTGTACTTTCTGCTACCATAGCAGAGGCCCTGAGAGTATAAAAATGTTTTGAAAGATGTGTTTATTTTCATTGAAAAGAGATTTACAGAGAGAAGGAGAGACAGAAAGATCTTCCATCCGCGGGTTCACTGCCCAGATGGCTGCAACGGCTGCAGCTGAGCCAATCCAAAGCCAGGAGTGGGCTTTCCTAAGTATGTGCAGGGGCCCACAGCTTTGAGCCATCATCCACTCCTTTCCCAGGCCACAAGCGGGGAGCTGGATTGGAAATGCAGCAGCCAGGACAGGAACCCATGCCTATAGGAGATGTTGGTGCTTGTAGATAGAGGATTAGCCAATTGAGTCATTGCACTACCTCCTAAAATAGGCTAATTTATGATTTCCTGTATTTATTATTTTAGTTTTGTTTTTACTGTTGTTGACATAGTTGAGAGTGATGCCTGCCCATGTGGGCCTCTGATTAGGGTGGGGAAAGTCAACGTATAGAGGAAGGTGGGTAGGGTAAATGTTTCCATTTTTTCTTTATTTCCTGTATCTACAGGTCAGTACTTGCTGCCAAAATACACCAGTGCCCAGGAATGTGGGGTGGTCATCTGACACCTGTTTGAGACCCTGATGTGGGAAAACATGGTCTCAGGGTGTTACTTGTGCAGTTTTGCTAGTTCTGAAATATTACTGGTTTTTTAGATTAAAAAAAAAATTTACTGGAAATTTGGGCCCAATGCGATAGCGTAGTGGTTAAAATCCTCGCCTTACATGTGCCAGGATCCCATATGGGTGCCAGTTCAAATCCTGGCAGTTCCACTTCTCATTGGGCTCCCTGCTTGCGGCCTGGGAAAGCAGTTGAGGATGGTCCAAAGCTTTGGGACCCTGCACCCATGTGGGAGACGGGAAGAAACTCCTGGCTTCGGCTTGGCTCAGCTCCGCTGTGGCTGCCTGGGGAGTGAACCATTAGAGGTAAGACCTTTGTCTCTCCTCTCTGTACATCTGCCTTTCCAATAAAAATAAATAAATCTTTAAAAATTTTTACTGGAAATTCAGATACACAGAGAGATGGAGAGGCAGAGAAAGATCTTCTCTCTTTCTGCTGGTTCACTCCCCAAGTGACCACTACAACTAGAGCTGGACTAATCTGAAGCCAGGAGCCAGGAGCTTCTGGGTCTCCCATGCAGGTGCAGGGGCCCAAGGCTTTGCACCATCTTAGACTGCTTTCTCAGGACACAAGCAGGGAGCTGGATGGGAAGTGGAGCTGCCGGGATTAGAACTGGCACTCATATGGGATCCTGGTGCATGCAAGGCAAGGACCTTAGCCACTAGGCTGCTGTGCCAGGCCTGATGTTGTTGGTTTTTAATTTGCTCCAGGGTTGAGAAAAAAAAAAAAATCTTTTTAAGGCCTATATACAGCCTCGTCCTGCCAACTTTATCAGCTCTTGCACTTGCCAGTGGGCTATGCTGGACTGGTTCTGAACAACCCCAGAAAGGTACACAAAATATGGCTAGGAGTGGGCGTGGGAGGGGAGCTCAGGGGTACCCTTGCTGGGCTTGATTCCCACCGGCGAGTGCTGCAAAGGCTGGAATGGTGGTGACAAACTGGGCTGGACATGGCTGCAGCATCCCTTGGCATGTGTGTGAACTGATTCTGGGGTTGCCAGATTTGGCTAGGCTCCAGAGTCTTCTGGTGCTTGCAAGAGTCAGCATGAGTGTAAGCCAGGCTGGGAGAGGTTTTGGCACCCACTAAACCTTGTCTGAGGCTCAGCCAGGTGGGGCTGGGTTACAGAACCCAATGTGAAGAGTCAGAACCAGTGTGGGCTAATTGGGCAAGGCCATCGTACCTGCCAGTGAATGCCTAAACAGAAGGTGGGCCAAGTCAGGCTGTACTAAGCACCCACCCAGTGTGTGCGAGATCTGCAACTGGGAGGTGGCCACATGGATGAGCCTGGGGAACTCTTCCATCAGGACACAGTCCCTGCTGCTGAGTGCAAGAAGCAGCCCAGACCATGCCAGGTTACAATACCCACCATCACCATCATGTGTGTGTTTCCGGTCTGGCGGCAGGCTGGGATAGGCCAGTTCACGGCATCCATGGGCAGATGTGAGAACCAGGACAGTGTGTGGGGCAGGACAGGTTGGGCCTCCAAACCAACCAGCTCACCTTAGGGCCTGAACTACGGACAGTCCAGGCTGGGCGAGGATGCAACACATGCTAGCATGAGCTGGAAATGGAGGCAGACCAGACCAAACCAGGTTGACTTACCCGTCAGTGAATGCCAAGGTAAGTCGAGCCATGCCAGACTGGGCTGCATCACCTAACCAGCACACGTTAGACCCTAGAAGATGGCAAGACCAGAAGGAGGCTGTGGGTGCTTCTCTGAGGAGCCACTGCTTCCACTGGCGAGTAAGGAGTGGGACTTGGGGAGGACCAAGCTGGGCAGGGCTATAATACCTGCTGGCTGGCATGTGATTGGCTCAGGGAAGAGCCAGGCTGGGCTGTGACTGCATACACTGGTGTCTGCATGAGCCAGTGCAGGCTGGTCAAGCTTTGCTGCAGTGTCTCTCCCAAAGTGTGATCTGCATTTCCAATACAAATAAATAAATTATGCAACACTGGAAATAATTTGATAAAGTCTTTATTGTCACATAGCCCCAAAGGAAAATAATAATAATACAAAGACAGAAATCCCAGTTCTTTGTTTTGCAAACGACAAGCATCTGTCTCTAGAGCTACTTGCTAGATCCCCAGAGGTTGTCAGGCCTCTGTGAGAAGAAGTTCCATGGGGAGAATTCTGAAAAACTGCCCTGAGAGTAACCCCCACTGCAAAAATTAAAACACAGGCCAACACCACCAGCAACCAGACCCCCTCCCCCCTAACAACGCAGTCACTAATGTGGGAGAAAAGGGATTCGGCGAGGGGTGGGACAAGTGGGGACTTCGGCCAAGTGCTTCAGCTAAGGTTGTAGGCAAGGGAGGGGAGGAGTACAAGTGCCTTTGAGAAGGGTCCAGCGTCGGTCTTGAGGGCCTAGGGAGACTGTGCTGCCAGCAGCGTTGGTTGGAGGAGATAGATGGGCCGTGTGCCAAGCTTCTGGCTCGGCCACTGGTGCAGGATTGGCGTCCATGCGCAGAGCGTCTTCCCTCCGCCGTCTCCCGTTGAGGCTTGTGCAGGCGCAGCCAGGGCTCTGTGCAGGTCCTGCCCTTCCTGCAGCTGGCTGGTGGGCAGGGTGTGGTTGCGAGTTGTGGCGCTGGAGTCACTGGAAGAGCAGGCGTCTTCGGGCCTTGCAGGCGGGGCGGCGAGGGCGCTGCGGGTTCTCGGGGCGCTCCTGGGGATCTGGACTGGGAGAGGGAGGCAGAGGCCGGAGCGAGGAGCTGGGTGAGAGGGGGTGCAGCAGTTGGTAGTCGAGGTCGAAGGCAGATCTGGGAGCTGCGGCCCAAGGACTGGGAGCCAGGAGCTCAGAGGCGGCGGAAGCGGAGGTGGCTGGGGCTGGGGCTGGGGCGGCTTCTTGCAAGGCATCTTCCTGGCCTGCGCCGTCGGGCACGGAGGCGCATGCCCATTGCTGCTGGCCCGCGACGACCAGCTGTTCCACCGCGACCAGCAAGGCGTCCAGCTGCAGGCCACCGGGAGCCTGTCCCTGGGCTCCGGAGTGCGAGGCGGCGGCGTCCAGGAGGCCCTGGGGCACCAGGAGCAGCGTGCATCCCAGCAGCGACACTGTGACGACGGCCATGGGCGGGGGCTCCAGCAGCAGGTCGACGCCGAGCTCGGGGTGTTGCAGCCACAGGGCCGAGCCGGCGGGCAGCACAACCACAGAGCTCAGCGAGCTGGGCGCCAAGCCATGTGCATCCACACCGGCAGCGGCCTGGTAATGGGCGCTGTCTTCGATGCACAGGTAATCTTCAGCATCTGGGACCAGGGCGGGGTCGTTTAGCCCGGGCTGCGGCAGCGGCTCGGGGCCCGCGGCGGGCACGTCCATTCGGCGGCGCTTGGCAGGGCCCGGCTCTCCGGACTGCGGATGCCAGCTGGGCGCAGGGCAGGTGCTGGGGCTGCCGTGCCGGATGCCTGGCATTGGACGGCGCCGTGGGCCGCGTGCTGGTGGCGCGCTTCCCACGCGGCGATGGGTCCCCAAAGGCAGGCTGGAAGGGCTCCCCGTCAGCCCTGCGCCTCAGCCCCGGGGTGGGCCCTCGCCGCTTGCAGCTTTCGCAGGCGACCCGGACGCTCCTCGCGCTCCGAAGTGCCGCCACACAAGGTCGTAATGCAGGTCGCAGAACGTCGCGCTGGCGCCGCCCTGCCTCTCCGCCCTGCGCGTCGACCTCTGACCGCTACGTGTCGCTCCGGTTGGCTGCTCAGGTGTGGGCAAGCCTGGTCTTCGGCCTCGGCGGGCGCAGTGCGCCTGTGCCGCGCTCGGGCCTAGTCCTGGCGGCAGCTCTCAGCCTTCCTCGAGTGAGAGCATCGGCAGTGCGCCGAGTGCGCTGGGCCACGCCGAGGGCCACGCGGTGGCCACCCTGAGGGCCACGCCGTGCCGGACGCCCGAGCTCCACGCCGAGGGCCACGCCGAGCCGGTCGCCCGAGCTCCACGCCGAGGGCCATCCTGAGGGCCACGCCGAGCCGGACGCGCGAGGGCCACGCCGAGGGCCATCCTGAGGGCCACGCCGAGGGCCACGCCGAGCCGGACGCCCGAGCTCCACGCCGAGGGCCACCCTGAGGGCCACGCCGAGGGCCACGCCGAGCCGGACGCCCGAGCGGGAGCGCCGCGCCCCTCCGGGCCCTGGTGGGCCTTGGCCAGCGAGGGAGGCCCTGACCCTGGGCGCCCTTGGCCGTGCTCCCCGGAGCTGTGCGCCCAGCAAGGCCGGGTCATGCTGCTGCTCGGCCGCTGGCACGGGCGCCCCGTCCGCCATTTGCAGCCCAGGTAAGCAGAACGCGCCTCTTGGCACTGGGGTTCCGAGCGGGTTTAGAACCTGCGCCGGAGCGTGTCTCAGCTCGTCCGCCAGGGTCCGGCAGGAAGACCCCCGCCCCGAATCCGGAATAAGTAGTTTTTAAAAGTGCTTACATTGGACATCAACGTATTCTTTCTGTAATTCTTCACCTTGAGGGGAAACAGCAACGGGTTTCTTTTCACGTAAAATGTTCTGTGCGCCGAAAAGCCAGCTTTCTCTCGCGCGGTAGGCCTTTGTGCTTTGAAGGGCCATGGTGAGCGCCCTGCGGTCAGACCCCTCTCGGCGGCCACTGGAGCCAGCGTGCTACGCCTCGGTGGTGCTGGCATCCTCGGGACGTTTGCGGAAAGGGTTTATTATTTTTATTTTTATGTTTATTTTTATCGCAAAGTCAGCAATACAGAGAGGAGGAGAGACAGGGAGGAAGATCTTCTGTCTGATGATTTGCTCCCCAAGTGCTGGAGCTGAGCTGACCCGAAACCAGGAGTTTCTTCTGGGTCTCCCATGCAGGGTCGCAAGGCTTTGGTCCGTGCTCGACTGCTTTCCCAGGCCACAGTCAGGGAGCTGGATGGGAAGTGGGGCTGTCAGGATTTGAACTGGCGCCCATATGGGTTCCCAGAGCGTACAAGGCGAGGACTTTAGCCACTAGGCTACTGCGTCGACCTCAGAAATGTTTACTTTTAAATTCAACATCCGTTACTCTTTTCAAACGGATTGATGTATTTCAAAAGCAGAGCGACCGCACGACAGACACACACGGACCCAGGGGTTTCTAACAGCTGCAGGTTCTAGCCCACTGGTCCTGGGGTGGCTGTCGGGGCGCGCCCGCTGCCTTCCAGGGTCCCTCAGCAGGATGCTGGATCAGAAGCCGGGTCTCCCAGAGGCAGCTGGAAACAGGAGCGGCTGGCCGCTTCCCTGCCCGGATTAGATCCCTGGGGTCAGCGGCCCTAAGAACTGTGTCAGCACTTCCGAGCCCCCTGGCTTTTTAGGTGGCGCTGCAGGGAGCTCAGGTATGCGGTGGCCCGTGCGTGCCGCGCGGCTGCTCCCGGCGGTTCGGGGGCGCTCGCTCCCCGGGCAGGGTCTCCGAGGTGGGCGGCTGCGCTGCGGGGTGGGTGACCCCGGCAGGCGGGGGCACCCTGGGGCCGCTCGGGCGTCCTCGGCTGGACCCCGGGGCGTTGGCGTGAATGCGCGGGACCTGCAGCGCCTGGGGGGGCCCCACGCGCGAGGAGAGGGCGCACGTGCCAGGCTGCGCGGGGCTGTTTTCCTGCAGTCGCTTAGGGCTTAGTGTCGTTATCTGTAAAATGTGTGTTTTTTTTTAAAGTAGATTTTTTCCCCCCAGAACACAATACTAATTTCTGTATGATTAACTTATTCTAAAATGTTGCGCAAGAACAAGGAAGAGCAACTTCAGAAATCAGAAAGTGATATTTTTGTCCTTGTCAGTCAGGCCCTGAATCTGCTCATCTCGGAGTAGTTGAGATAATTCTGCTTGGCCAAGCTGTGCTGTCTTTACTTCCTGAACACCTGCTGAGCGCCGTGTTACCAAGACCAGCTGTGGTGCTGGCTTGTGGGGTCTCTCATTCCTTCATCCCCTACTGGTCTGAAAATGTGCAAACTAGTACTGGTTACTTGGCTGCTTGGCTTTTAAAGGTTTACGCTGAAACTGAGGTAGAATTGTTTAAATCAAATACGTAGACTGCAATCACTCAGAGCTTTCCTATTATAACTGGAAATGATTTCCACATATTAATCCTGTGTTCAGCCACCTTGCAGAGTTCTTGATTCAGCTGTTATCCAGATTTCACACTTCTGTAGTGTGTGGTGGTTGTATTTTTCTGCCTTTCCAAGTTTTATGCCTTTGGTGTCACTTGGCCGGCTGTGCTTGGGGTCCCCTTTAGGTGGTCCCGGGAGGGCAGCATCTTCCCGTGGTGTCGCCTCCGGTAAGAGTGCTGCTCATGTTTGTTGCCTTGCGTTGATTCCAGGAAGTGCCCTGTGTCACATTGCCTTGTTTTTAGATAATTCCGAATTTACAGGCCTGTTGAAAGAATAGTGCAGGACCTCCACCTATCTCCGCTGGTTCTGTCCCCGTAACCCCTCACTCCACATTCCGTGTGTCAGCCGCCCCCTGGGGTGCCAGCCATCCCGTACTGGCACCAGTCCTCACTGCCCTGCTTCCCATCCAGCTCCCTGACCGCAGTAGCTGAGTCCTTGTCCCCGTAGGGGCCACCCGGATGGAGTGCCAGGCATTGGGCTGGCCCAGCCCTGGTCATGGTTGCCACTGGGGGGCAGAAAATTTCTCTTTTTCTCTATATAACTCTTTCAAATAAATAAGTAAATCTTTTTTTTTTTTTTTTAAGAACAATTCCTTACAAATTCTTGGTAGAGTTATCAAATTGAAAAGCCATACTTTAATTCACTCAATTTTCCAGTTTGACAGTCGTACCAGTAATATCTTTAAAACGCAGCTTCCCTTTAACAGCATTTTTTTTTTTTTGCTGTAAAATGCAATTCAGCTTCGTACTACTTACCAGTCATGCTTGTAGTAACCCTTTATATGAAACTTTTTAGACACCTGTCATTCATACTACTGATTTTTGTAGTCTATTCATCTTTCACTATTTGTTCATGCATTTCATGACTCTTATTAGGCGTTTTAAATGACATTTACATCAACTTCTACTTTTCTACAAATTGAAGTAACATGAGTATTCGCAGGGAATGAACTGATACTTATGGGACGATGGAGCCGCAGGCAGAGGCTTAACCTACATGTCTACCAATGCTGGCCACACAATCTTTTCAAATAAAAAAAAAAATTATTTTTTTGTAAACTCTTTGAGTACTCCTTGTATGCATGGATTTCAGCTTATTCCTGTACCAAAATAAATTTAATACTTTAGTCCTATATGCCATAAGCTTTCTGAAGTACTGTCATGGGATTCTAATTTGTTGCTCTTTCTGTTACAATGCTATATCTCTCTTTTAAAAATATATTTCCCCAATATTAATATGGCTAGCCCAGCTCTTTTTCTACTTAAAAAAGTATTTGAAAGAGTAACAGAAGGAAGGAGAGGAGAAGGGAGGGAAGGGGAGCGAGCGAGGCAGTAGAGACACACACGCACAGGCCTGTCCTGTCCATTGGTTCAGTCCCGGTGCCCATGGCAGCCGGGCTAGGCCAGAGCCAGGAGCGAGGAAGACTTTGGTCACAGGTTGGTTTGGGAGATGAGGTGGGGTAATCCCAGGCCCTTCGATGGGGCATGTGGGTGCCCGGATGGTGTCTTCACCCATTGCACAACAGTGCCCCGCCCTTTAGTCTACCTCTGATGATCAAAATGGGCATGCTCGGTAAAGGCCTTACCATCTCAACCCAGTTTACATCTTGGGTCGCTTGTGGGCAGCACGTAATTGGGCCTTGCTTTTACTTTTCCCTCCCTGTTTGTTGGAATGTGTGGAATGTTAATTTATAAGTGTTGTATGGTTGCATCTGCTTGGCATTTGGCGTTTGTTTGCTGCGCGGCCTCTTTGCTTGCTACAGCACAGTGCTGGTCCTGCTTCTTCACCTTTGCTTTCCCACTTCGCTGTTAGCAATTGTACATTATATTCCCACAGTTGTTTTGATTTTACTTCTGTATATAGACCCCTGTGCTCCAGCCCTCAACACTTGGATTATAATTTTTAAAGTAAGGTTGGTTTCTTTCTTGGTTTGCTTCTGTCATTATTTTACAGATTTATTTGTTTTTATTTGAAAGGCAGAGGCCAAATGGCCGAAATGGCCAGGACCGGGCAGGCGGAAACCAGGAGCCAGGAGCCTCTTCCGGAGCTCCCCTGTGCATGACAGGGGCCAAGTGCTTGGGCTGTCCTCTGCTGCCTTTCCTAGGCTGTTAGCAGAGCCGGATCAGATGCAAACAGGCGGGATTCAAGGTGGCACCTACATGCAGGGCTGGTGCACGAGTGGGGGCTCCCACAGCTGTGACACCGCTTTAATATTTGAGATAACATTAAAAAATTAATTTATTTATTTACTGGAAAGGTAGATATACAGAAAGGAGAGACAGAGAGGAAAATCTTCAATCTGATGGTTCACTCTCCAAGTGACCGCAATGACCAGTGCTGCACCGATCAGGAAACTCCTCCA